AAATGGGATCCTGCTAGAAGGGGATCACACATTTCTAAGGGAACAACAAGCTCCCAACATAAAGGCAACTGACCAAGGAGGCGACAGAGGGGCCTAACACTTAGTTCATTGCAAATGGGAAATTCTTCGGGAGCAGTGCTCTCGGCTTTCAAGCTGAGGCAGGCCCTTACAGCACATACTGGGAGCGACTCATAGCTAACCTCAGCTCGACCAGAAGTAGGCGCTAGATTAGAAGGGGTAACCCAGCAGGGTCCAATAAGAGACAGTCCACTGGAGCATCTCGATAGAGAGCGTGGGTCCCGTATAACCAGACCCGATAGAATCTGAAGAAACAGCGGGACCCAATAACCATTCATGCATATAGAGCGTACTGCTTCTCAGAGCAGAAGCACAAAAGAGGGGTTTCCACAGAGACACAAATCCTTCTTACCTCAGGGAACGCAGTGTACTCCAGCCCACTCCGCAGAGGGGTAATTACTGGTTCAACCATAAGGGCAGTGTGACAGTGAGGACCCACGGGCCCGACCGTCTATGGAGCGTTGAGCTCCTCAACGCCTCAGCGAGAAGAGCTCTAGCTCAGAGAACGTGCATGAAGGTTAAGGAACGACTCAAAATTCGGGAGACCACTCAGGGTGAGAAATTAATAGCGCACCCTGGCCAGAGGATAGGGAGCATGTCACGAAGCATGTACTCAGAAGAGTACTAGCCCACGAGAAGGACCTGCAGGTCCTGAGGTTGCAGCGTTATACTGGGGACCTGATGCTGGGAGGCTTCCTCAGAAGCCCAGGCTGCGTGTCCAAGCCGAAGATGAGGGCTATCACCAGCCTGGCCTAGAACCGATGAGTGAAACCATCACTGTAATCGGTCAACAGCAGGAGGTCCTGACTTAGCAGGTGGGTCAAACCTAAAAGTCAGAAAAACAGAACAGGTCCGAGTAGCGCTGCAGAGAAAGGCTTGCATCGAATACACAAGAACTGGCAGTAGAGTAGATGAAAATTGATCGTACTCACCAACCATGGCTCCAGCGCATGACTCAGGCTCATGGATATAGGCTGGAGGCGAAGTCCGAAGCCTGGACCTTCGTGGTAATGAAGGACTTAAAGGCAGCCGAGCGCGTCTTGGCCTCCTTAAACTTCACGACCACTGTCTCGACGTAAGTGCCGAAAAGCTCAGAAGGGGAAACCGGCGCATCAAGAAGAAAGCTCTTGTCTTTCGACCCGATATCCACCAGACTCACCCTCAGATGTCCCTCCGTAACCACCATGGCCGCCATGGATCTGCCAATGGCAGAGGCGGCCTGCTTAGTGGCACGGAGAGCAAGATCCGTGGTGCGACACAACTCAGCCACCTCATCAGGAGATAGACCCTGCCTTTATCCACCTTCAGCAGATCAGCCTGATAAGCCTGAAACACCGCCATGGTGTGCAACGAGGCTGCAGCCTGACCTGTATGCCCTGCCATTCAAACGAGATGTATCCTGAAGGGGTTTGGATGGCAGGGAGGGAGCCTAAAGAAAAGATGTCTCCCCCATAGAGAGATAGCAGGCCAGCGTCTCTTCAACAGGGGGCATCTTTTCATAACCATTCTCACGCAT